CGTACGTACGTACGTACGTACGTACGTACCGTACGTACCGTACGTACGTACGTACTACTACGACGACACACTACTACTACTACTCTTCTCTCTCTCTCTCTCTCTCTCTCTCTCTCTCTCTCTCTCTCTCTCTCTCTCTCTCTCTCTCTCTCTCTCCAACGTCCACTCTCTCTCTCTCTAAACAACCGAACACCCACAACTCTTCTCTTCCATTAATCTCTCTCTCTCTACAAAACCCATCTCTGACAATTCTTCGTTTCTCTCTCTCTTCTGATTCATTTCCAGACCCTTTTGACCAGCCCAAAGCATAAGCCTGCTCCAATATGAAACCCAAAAGAAGCCAAATTGCGATGCTTTCGGTTTTGGAAAGTTGGTAAGGGGAAAAGGCAAGTAGTATGATTGGAGAGATGGCAAAGGCGTGGGGGACTCCCCTTTTTGTTGTGTACATGTAAAGAGAGAAAGAGAGAGAAATGCATCATCATAATCATCAGAACGGTATGCCCAAAAAGAATGCAAGAGAGCTTTACCCATCTTGTCTACCCCTGTGTTTGTGTCCTACAAAACTTTTTCTGCCTGGTTTTTAGTTTTTTTCGGTTCTCTCTCTTTTTCTCTCGCTACGTCCCTCCGTAGAGAGAGAAAGCGAGCCAGATGGGGGAATCTCTCTCAGGTTTCCTTCTCAATCTCTCTAGTCCCTGCCCAATTGGGAAGGAGTTCGGTGTTAGGTCAAAACTCGAAACTGTTCTATCTCTCTAATGGTGGTCTTGGGTCAAAAGAAAGGGGTCGAGAGAGTGAGAAGGACAGCGCATATTTGAGTGCATTTCCCATCACGGTTGGTGCGTGCCTGGTGTGAGATCTCGTGTCATCAACAACCGAATCTCTCCGTCATGTGCTTTCCAGAAAGACAGTGGCATGCCCCTCCTTTCACTCTCTTAATTTTAGTTTTTGAGGGACCGTGCATATCTATATATACTGCCTGCCGAACAAGCTTTCCCCACCCATAAAAGCCAAGCGGCCTCTCTTCCAATTGGCCCACTTGCACCACAAAACCCTAGGAATTCATTCTTACTATTGTTGCTATTGTTTTACCTCAGTTTTATATAAGGCATGCTTAATTATCCCCAATTAAAAAAAAATGCACTTATGAAGATATAGTTTCGGTATCGGAAACCTTCATAATCTACGTTTAATCTTAATTATGAAATTTAAAATTTCAAAAACTATGTTGATCGAGTTGAACTATAAACACTTTACAATCTTGAAAATAGATAGTTCAAATAACTTATTTCAAGCTAGACTATTTTTAAGACTCAAAATTTTTTTATTTTTAATATCCATATATCTGGAGGTCAATGAGTAATCTTAATATTTTCAAACTTTTGAATACTCCTTTTGATAGATTTTTGAGGTGCACATTACTTCTATAGTATAAAGTTGCAACTTTATATAAACTTTTTCTTTCATAATCTAATATCATTACGATTATCTCAATGTTGTGTTGTGATATGAGACCAACCTTGACCCAATATCAAAATATTTTGTGCCCATCATCTCATCTATAGAGAAGTATTGAAGTTTGACCACCTCGTTCTCTATTTGTGGACAGTGTTCTTGGTGCTTGTAATATTAACCAAGAAGGGATCCAATGCATTTTCACCAACATGATCATAACCATAACCACAGACTAGCACTATAGATATTATTAGATGTCCAAATATTCTATGCTCCCACATGATCATGGGGTCCATAGCTCAATGGTAGAGCATTTGACTGCAAATCAAGAGGTCACCGGTTTGGCCCTGTATTTTTAACTGAGGTTCCTTCATTGTCAAAAAGAAAAAAAATTCTATGCTGTGCTGCCTTGTGGAAGCATAGACTCTGTTCACTCCCTTGGATAAAAACCGTGTTTTGCAGATGTATTAGTGCCCCAATTTTTAAATATGTTACCTCCACATACTATGGTTTGCAAACTTGAATGAACTGAAGGTCTATCTAAATTTCCAAAATGAGCTATAGATTAACATTACAAAAGGTCTATCTATCTCGCTACAAAATAGATAGTCAACAAGACTTACATCTTTCGTTTTACTTTTTTTTTTTTTTCACTAGTGTTAGTATTTTTGCTTTGAAAAAATAGCATGTGCTATTTTAAAATAGTATCCTTTTAAACTGTCTCTAAAAAGCGTATTATTGTAAAAAGAGACATTGAAGAATGGAGAAGAAAAAGTCGTGTTTAAATACAGAATACCCTATCTTATTATGTCCGCATAATCAAAGAGAGAGAAGGCTCATATGGAGCATGTGAAGCTTGAAAGCGCATCATAGCTTATCAATGTCAGCAGATGAATCATGCATTAGGCCAAAGAATATGCATATGCTTTATGGTTCACTTTGAACCCAATTACATGCAATTGTAAGTGATGAGCAATTAATGACTATTAATTATTAGAAATGCATGATGTTTCTAATGCCCAAAATGAATAGCGCCAAGGTAGCAAAAGAATACGACACATGACTTGAAAAGTTACTCTCATTCTCTCTCTCTCTCTATCTCTGTCTCTCTCTCTTACATAGCATCTCATTTTTTCAAACATATTTTTTCTCCAAATGAAAGGCCACTCTGATGCTTGAGGATCTTCTTGTATGCATTGAACATGCAAAATAAGTGTTTGATCTTCCATTTTTAGGTATCATGAGGACAAATTGCTCATTGAAACTTATGCATTCTTATTCTTGTCAATTGGAAGCAAATATTATTGTACGATAATGATTCCGGAAAACATGAAGACTTCTAAGATTTTGCAAAATCATCCAGCAATTGATTTTCATTGCCCCCATTTCACTAACACCAAATATTGTCCAACACATGGATCTTTTGCTCCCCTCATCTCTCCCTTTCTCTCAAAATAAAAAGGAGTTATTCTTTCTTTCTAGTAGCTCAAAATTAAAAATTAGGCTAGAACACAATGTTGCTATTATGAACAAGTAACCAATTAAGCACAATCTAGATTCCTAGGAGGAGGAATGAACCTAAATGTGTACTAAATTTGGAATTTACTAAAGAGCAAACCAAATCACTTTGATTCATTTGATAAAAGCTAAAAACTCATTTTCTCAAAACTATTTTTTTTTTCTCCTAAGTCAACCCTCATATATAATTAAATCATAATTATCATCTGAGCTTTTCCCAACTACTTGGGGTTGGCTTCACAAATTATGGCTTGCCATTCTACTCTACCAAGGGCCATGACCTCAGTGAGGTCATAAGTCGTTATGTATTTTCTTACTACTTCCAAGCATATCTCTTTGGGCATATCCCTTGCTTTATGTGAGCCTTCTACTTGAACCAACTCTCACCTCCTAACTGATGTTATACTGGGTTTATGCTACACATCACCAACCCACCGAAGTCTACTTTCTCACATCTTATCACCTATTGGAGCCATAGCTAAGTTCTTTTGAATGTTCATTTCGACTTCTATCCCTTCTTGTCTTGCCACTCATCCATCTCTACATCCTCATCTCAACTATACTCATTATATGGTTATGTTGTTTCTTACATTCCTCCCCATAAAAGCAAAGTTGGGCTCACAATTGTGCTATAGAACTTCCCCTCCAACTTCTTTGGTACGTGACAACCGTACATAAAACTTCGGTTGCAAATCTCTACCTCACCCATCCAGCTCCAATTCCATTTGCGACATCTTCCTCAATCTCTTTGTTTTAGTCCAGCTAATTTGAAAACCTTTAGATTCTAGAGAATCCCTTCAAAGTTCTAACTTTGTGTTGACACCGCTTTAGGTCTCATCAGTTAAAGCTATGTCGTCCCAAACAACATGCACTATGGTACCTCATCTTGTAGGTTCCAAGTTAAGTTGTACATAACTAAGACAAAGAAGTATGGGCTCAATGTTTAGCTTTGATGTAGACTTATTGTCACTGAAAACTCACTTCTCTCCACTAGTTGTTCACGCAATACTTAGCTCTCTCTCTCGTACATATCTATCATCAAGTCAATATAGTATATGGAGACTCTTTTATTTTCCAATGCCTACCTAATTAAATCTTGATATACTCTACTATAAACTTTCTCTATATCAATAAAGATCATGTGGATGCCTTTTCCCTTTACCCTACACTTCTCAATCAGTTGTTTCAATAGAAAAATAGCCTA